TCAGACAAAACAATATGGTTGCAGCTACGGCAGTACCGCTCGGGCCTCAGACATGAAAAAAGATGGTTGCAGCTACGGCAGTACCGCTCGGGGCCTCAGACATAAACAATATGGTTGCAGCTACGGCAGTACCGCTCGGGGCCTCAGACATGAACAAGATGGTTGCAGCTACGGCAGTACCGCTCGGGGCCTCAGACATAAACAATATGGTTGCAGCTGCGGCTGTACCGCTCGGGGCCTCAGACATGAACAAGATGGTTGCAGCTACGGCAGTACCGCTCGGGGCCTCAGACATAAACAATATGGTTGCAGCTACGGCAGTACCGCTCGGGGCCTCAGACATGAACAAGATGGTTGCAGCTGCGGCTGTACCGCTCGGGGCCTCAGACATGAACAAGATGGTTGCAACTACGGCAGTACCGCTCGGGGCCTCAGACATGAACAAGATGGTTGCAACTACGGCAGTACCGCTCGGGGCCTCAGACATAAACAATATGGTTGCAGCTACGGCAGTACCGCTCGGGGCCTCAGACATGAACAAGATGGTTGCAACTACGGCTGTACCGCTCGGGGCCTCAGACATGAACAAGATGGTTGCAACTACGGCAGTACCGCTCGGGGCCTCAGACATAAACAATATGGTTGCAGCTACGGCAGTACCGCTCGGGGCCTCAGACGTGAACAATATGGTTGCAACTACGGCAGTACCGCTCGGGGCCTCAGACATGAACAATATGGTTGCAACTACGGGAGTACCGCTCGGGGACTCAGACATAAACAATATGGTTGCAACTACGGCAGTACCGCTCGGGGCCTCAGACATAAACAAGATGGTTGCAACTACGGCAGTACCGCTCGGGGCCTCAGACATAAACAAGATGGTTGCAACTACGGCAGTACCGCTCGGGGCCTCAGACATGAACAAGATGGTTGCAACTGCGGCTGTACCGCTCGGTGCCTCAGACATGAACAAGATGGTTGCAGCTACGGCAGTACCGCTCGGGGCCTCAGACATGAACAAGATGGTTGCAACTGCGGCTGTACCGCTCGGTGACTCAGACATGAACAAGATGGTTTTCAGCTACGGCAGTACCGCTCGGGGCCTCAGACATGAACAAGATGGTTGCAACTGCGGCTGTACCGCTCGGTGCCTCAGACATGAACAAGATGGTTGCAGCTACGGCAGTACCGCTCGGGGCCTCAGACATGAACAATATGGTTGCAACTACGGGAGTACCGCTCGGGGACTCAGACATAAACAAGATGGTTTCAGCTACGGCAGTACCGCTCGGGGCCTCAGACATAAACAATATGGTTGCAGCTACGGCAGTACGCTCGGGCTCAGACATGAACAAGATGGTTGCAGCTACGGCAGTACCGCTCGGGGCCTCAGACATGAACAAGATGGTTGCAGCTACGGCAGTACCGCTCGGGGCCTCAGACATGAACAATATGGTTGCAACTACGGCAGTACCGCTCGGGGCCTCAGACATGAACAATATGGTTGCAACTACGGGAGTACCGCTCGGGGACTCAGACATAAACAATATGGTTGCAACTACGGCAGTACCGCTCGGGGCCTCAGACATGAACAAGAGGCTGCAACTGCGGCTGTACCGCTCGGTGCCTCAGACATGAACAAGATGGTTGCAGCTACGGCAGTACCGCTCGGGGCCTCAGACCTGAACAAGATGGTTGCAACTGCGGCTGTACCGCTCGGTGACTCAGACATGAACAAGATGGTTGCAGCTACGGCAGTACCGCTCGGGGCCTCAGACATGAACAAGATGGTTGCAACTGCGGCTGTACCGCTCGGTGCCTCAGACATGAACAAGATGGTTGCAGCTACGGCAGTACCGCTCGGGGCCTCAGACATGAACAATATGGTTGCAACTACGGGAGTACCGCTCGGGGACTCAGACATAAACAAGATGGTTGCAGCTACGGCAGTACCGCTCGGGGCCTCAGACATAAACAATATGGTTGCAGCTACGGCAGTACCGCTCGGGGCCTCAGACATGAACAAGATGGTTGCAGCTACGGCAGTACCGCTCGGGGCCTCAGACATGAACAAGATGGTTGCAGCTACGGCAGTACCGCTCGGGGCCTCAGACATGAACAATATGGTTGCAACTACGGCAGTACCGCTCGGGGCCTCAGACATGAACAATATGGTTGCAACTACGGGAGTACCGCTCGGGGACTCAGACATAAACAATATGGTTGCAACTACGGCAGTACCGCTCGGGGCCTCAGACATAAACAAGATGGTTGCAACTACGGCAGTACCGCTCGGGGCCTCAGACATAAACACTATGGTTGCAGCTACGGCAGTACCGCTCGTGGCCTCAGACATAAACAATATGGTTGCAACTACGGCAGTACCGCTCGGGGCCTCAGACATAAACAATATGGTTGCAGCTACGGCAGTACCGCTCGGGGCCTCAGACATAAACAATATGGTTGCAGCTACGGCAGTACCGCTCGGGGCCTCAGACATAAACAATATGGTTGCAGCTACGGCTGTACCGCTCGGGGCCTCAGACATAAACAAGATGGTTGCAGCTACGGCAGTACCGCTCGGGGCCTCAGACATAAACAATTATGGTTGCAGCTACGGCAGTACCGCTCGGGGCCTCAGACATAAACAAGATGGTTGCAGCTACGGCAGTACCGCTCGGGGCCTCAGACATAAACAATATGGTTGCAGCTACGGCAGTACCGCTCGGGGCCTCAGACATAAACAATATGGTTGCAGCTACGGCAGTACCGCTCGGGGCCTCAGACATAAACAATATGGTTGCAGCTACGGCAGTACCGCTCGGGGCCTCAGACATAAACAATATGGTTGCAGCTACGGCAGTACCGCTCGGGGCCTCAGACATAAACAATATGGTTGCAGCTACGGCTGTACCGCTCGGGGCCTCAGACATAAACAAGATGGTTGCAGCTACGGCAGTACCGCTCGGGGCTCAGACATAAACAATATGGTTGCAGCTACGGCAGTACCGCTCGGGGCCTCAGACATAAACAAGATGGTTGCAGCTACGGCAGTACCGCTCGGGGCCTCAGACATAAACAATATGGTTGCAGCTACGGCAGTACCGCTCGGGGCCTCAGACATAAACAATATGGTTGCAGCTACGGCAGTACCGCTCGGGCCTCAGACATAAACAATATGGTTGCAGCTACGGCAGTACCGCTCGGGGCCTCAGACATAAACAATATGGTTGCAGCTACGGCAGTACCGCTCGGGGCCTCAGACATAAACAATATGGTTGCAGCTACGGCAGTACCGCTCGGGGCCTCAGACATAAACAATATGGTTGCAGCTACGGCAGTACCGCTCGGGGCCTCAGACATAAACAATATGGTTGCAGCTACGGCAGTACCGCTCGGGGCCTCAGACATAAACAATATGGTTGCAGCTACGGCAGTACCGCTCGGGGCCTCAGACATAAACAATATGGTTGCAGCTACGGCTGTACCGCTCGGGCCTCAGACATAAACAAGATGGTTGCAGCTACGGCAGTACCGCTCGGGGCCTCAGACATAAACAATATGGTTGCAGCTACGGCAGTACCGCTCGGGGCCTCAGACATAAACAATATGGTTGCAGCTACGGCTGTACCGCTCGGGGCCTCAGACATAAACAATATGGTTGCAGCTACGGCAGTACCGCTCGGGGCCTCAGACATAAACAATATGGTTGCAGCTACGGCAGTACCGCTCGGGGCCTCAGACATAAACAATATGGTTGCAGCTACGGAAAGTACCGCTCGGGGCCTCAGACATAAACAATATGGTTGCAACTACGGCAGTACCGCTCGGGGCCTCAGACATAAACAAGATGGTTGCAGCTACGGCAGTACCGCTCGGGGCCTCCTACCAGACATCATCTACCTTCTCTAGATTTTTTCTAATATATCCAGTAAATAAAATATAAATAATTCCAATAAAGAAGGTATCATAACAGGTTTATAGTTAGGTGACTTAACAGAGAATGAGTTTCATCAAGGAAATGATTAAGTAACCATGATTAGTTTAGACCGGGGGTGGGAGAATTTTATGGGGGGAAGGGGGGGGATATTACCCCCGAAACAAATCTGTGTAGAACGAAATTCTCCCACTAGACTTGAAGGTCCAGACAGTCCGGGAAACACAGGAAACATGCCAACTCAAAATAGTTTACTGAATCCATTTGTATGGAGAATACAGTTATACAAACTAAAGTGTATGATAAAGCAACTTTAAAAAATAAAGCACAAAATTAACAAAATAAAGTGAAAAATAAAGATACATGAAATAAGAGCAAAAGACAAATTTAACAAAAAATTTCAATAAGGAACCTGAAGAAACTAACAATTAAGAAATTAAAAATTATTTGTTTGAAAAAAATTTAACTATCATAATTTGCCTCGCTTATTAATCAATTTTTGTGCATTTTTTTTTATTTTGTGTTTATTGCGCCTACAGTAAATGATAAAAGTTGTGTGATTATATGTGGTTATAAATAAAACCATAATTTTTAAAGAGGTGGAGGGGTAAGCCACCGGAAGGCCTCGGTCAGATGACCAAAAGCGTCAGCAAACACTTGTCCTATTTCCTGACTAACCTAATCTAACTTAACCTTTAGCAGCCTCAGATTTTCATTTTCACCCCATTTACGGTAATTTTTCCCAATTCCCCGACCTAGGATCAAGATAGACACATGAGCAAACACCAGGACATATTAGTGAACGTTTCGGTCCTGGGACCTTGATTACCTCAGGTTGAAATTGATCAACCTTATAACCTTGATTACTTGTGGTTAGAAATGATCAACATTATAACCTTGATTACTTCTAGTTAGAAATGATCAAGGTTCAGGACCGAAACGTTTTCGGTTCTGGTGTTTGCTCACGTGTCTTTCTAAAGCAGTTTGTGGGTATGCATAAGGAAGGTTTATACACTGACTATAACTGTAGCGAGCATTCATGAAACTATGTGAAGAAGAGTACCTGTTGTCTGTCTCCCTGACGAGGCTCACCAGCTTCTTGAAGTAGTCCAGACCGAAGACTCCCACTTCCTGTGTGTGGTTGTTCCTCCAGGTGATGGTCTCCAGGTAGGTCTCCCAGTCCAGCTGCCAAACACACACACACACACACACACACACACACACACACACACACACACACACACACACACACACACACACACACACACACACACACACACACACACAAACACACACACACACACACACACACACACACACACACACACAGTACCAAGTTAGTTAGGTTTGAAACTTATCGACTATATATGTTTGTCTGTCATACACTAACATTACGAAAGCGCTTGGAAATTCTCTATTCTTTCACAGTGGTTGTTTTGCATATATGTATATATATATATATATATATATATATATATATATATATATATATATATATATATATATATATATATATATATATATATATATATATATATATATATATGTATATATATGTGTATATCTCGGTGTATATATATCCCATGTCCCAATATATATACCATGACAGATACATATCATTTAGTGTGTATGAGAGGATAGACATAGAGGGCAGGTAAATGATAGATTTAGGTAATATCAACAAGCAAGATACCACGCAACACTTTACATATGCAGTGTTGCTTAATGCAGACTTAGTGCAACAAAGACAGTCCTGAAAATACTCAAAAATCTCTGCGATAAATCCGCATAAATCTGTTTCAACATCATAAAATTTACACATTTATTTACACATTTACACTGATATTTACATGGCTATGCAAATTTACACTGACCTTAAGAATTTTTAGCGAAATTAAGCAACATTATTGGACGCAAATTTTGTTGATGATATTGTGATGATTAATGAAAATTTTCAGTCAGTGTTGAGACTTAAGAAAATATTTCTTATCCAGATGAATTTATATAAAAGGAAATTCTTTGGAGAGTTTTGTTACCTGTAGTTACAGTGGTGTGGTGATGTCACCTCTGTCACCTGTAGGTACTGTGGTGTGGTGGAGAGTAACTTTGTTCACCTGGGTTACAGTGGTGTGGTGGATGTCACCTTTGTCACTGCAGTTTACAGTGGTGTGATGGAGTCACCTTTGTCACCTGTAGTTACAGTGGTGTGGTGATGTCACCTCTGTCACCTGTAGTTACAATGGTGTGGTGGAGCCACCTTTGTCACCTGTAATTACAGTGGTGTGGTGGAGTCACCTTTGTGACCTCTAGTTACAGTGGTGTGGTGGAGTCACCTTCGTCATCTGTAGTTTACCAGTGGTGTGGTGGAAGTCACCTTGGTCCCTGAGTTGCGCGGTGTGGTGGAAAGTTCACCTGTGTCACCTGTTAGCTGCATGTGGGTGGTGGTGTCACCTGTGTCACCTGTAGTTGCAGTGGTGTCTTGGAGTCACCTGTGTCACCTGTAGTTGCAGTGGTGTGGTGACTCACCTCTGTCACCTGTAGTTACAGTGGTGTGGTGGAGTCACCTATGTCACCTGTAGTTTCAGTGGTGTGGTGGAGTCCACTCTGTCCCCTGTTGTTACACGTGGTGTGGTGGATCAGTTAACTTTGTCACCTGTGGTTACAGTGGTGTGGTGCAGTCACCTCTAACACCTGTATTTAAATTGGAGTGGTGGAGTCACCTCTGTCGCCTGTAGTTACAGTGGAGTGGTGGAGTCACATTTGGCACCTGTAGTTTCAGTGGTGTGGTGGAGTCACCTCTGTCACTGTGTTACAGTGGTGTGGGTGGATACCTCTGTCCCTGTTGTTACAAGTGTGTGGTGGAGTCACCTCTGTCGCCTGCAGTTGCAGTGGTGTGGTGGAGTCACCTCTGTCACCTGTAGTTACAGTGTTGTGGTGGAGTCACCTATGTCACCTGTAGTTACAGTGGTGTGGTGGAGTCACCTCTGTATCCTGTAGTTACAGTGTGGTGGAGTCCTCCTTTGTCACCTTTAGTTGCGGTAGGTGCGGTGGAGTCACCGCGTCACCTGTAGTTACAGTGGTGTGGTGCAGTCACCTCTGTCGCCTGTAGTTACAGTGGTGTGGTGGATTCACATTTGCCACCTGTAGTTGCAGTGGTGTGGTGGAGTCACCTCTGTCACCTGCCAGTTTACAGTGGTGTGGGGGAGGAGTCACCTCTGTTCACGTAGTAACAGAGGAAGTGGGATGTGGACTTACCTCTGTTCTCCTGTAGTGTACTGTGGGTCCTGGAGTCACTCTGACCCTGTAGTTACAGTGGTGTGGGGGAGTCACCTCTGTCACCTGAAGTAACAGAGGAGTGGTGGACTTACCTCTGTCACCTGTAGTTACAGTGGTGTGGTGGAGTTCACCTCTGTCCCTGTAGTAACAGGGGAAGTGGTGGAAGTACCTTTGTCACCTGTAGTTGCGTGGTGTGGTGGAGTCACCTGTGTCACTTGTAGTTCGACACTGGTGTGGTGGAGTCACCTCTGGTCACCTGTAGTTACGTGGTGTGGTGGGTACTTTGTGCCACCTGTAGTGCACGAAAGGTGGTGTGGTAGAGTCACCGGTGTGTCACTGTAGGTACAGTGGTGTGAGTGGAAGTCACCTGTGTCACTGTAGTTGCTAGTGGTGTGGTGGAGTCCACTTGAGTCACGTTAGTTGCAGTTGGTGTGGCGATTCACCTCTGTCATCTGTAGTTACAGTGGTGTGGTGGAGTCACTTGTGTCACCTGTAGTTGCAGTTGTGTGGTGATTCACCTGTGTCACCTGTAGTTGCAGTGGTGTGGTGGAGTCACCTGTGTCACCTGTAGTTGCAGTGGTGTGGTGGAGTCACACTCTCTCTCCTGTAATTTACAGTGATGTGGTGATTCACCTCGCCCCCCCCCCCCCCCCCACCCCCCCCCCCCCCCTTAACCTGTAGTGACAGTGGGTCGTGGAGTCACCTTTGTCCCGGTAGTACATTGGTTGTGGATGGAGTCTCTCTGTCTCCTGCAGTGTACAATGTGTTGGTGGTGCCACCTTTGTCACCTGTAATTACAGTGGTGTGGTGGCGTCACCTTTGTCACTTGTAGTTACAGTGGTGTGTGAGTTACCTTCGTCATCTGTAGTTAACGTGTTGTGGTGGTGTTCACTTTGCTCTGCAGTTGCAGTTTGTGGTGGAGTAATCTGTGTCACCTGTAGTTGCAGTGGTGTGGTGGAGTCACCTGTGTCACCTGTAGTTGCAGTGGTGTGGTGGAGTCACCTGTGTCACCTGTAGTTGCAGTGGTGTGGCGATTCACCTCTGTCACCTGTAGTTACAGTGGTGTGGTTGGAGTCGCCCTGTCTCACCTGTAAGGGGGTTCCAGTGGTTGTGGTGGAGTCAATCCTATGTCACCTGCAGTTTCAGTGGTGTGGTGCAGTCACCTCTGTCACCTGTAGTTAAATTGGTGTGGTGAAGTCACCTCTGTCGCCTGTAGTTACAGTGGTGTGGTGGAGTCACATTTGTCACCTGTAGTTTCAGTGGTGTGTGGTGGAGCTCACTCTGCTCACCCGTAGTTACAGTGGTGTGGGTAACCTCTGTCCTGTTAGTTACAGTGGTGTGGGGAGTCATCTCTGTCGACTGTAGTTCAGTGGTGTGTTGGAGCTTGGGTACCTCTGTCACTGTAGTTCCAGTGGTGTGGTGGGGAAAGTTCACCTATGTCTCTGTAGTTACCAGTGGGGTGTGGTGGAGTCACCTCTGTATCCTGTAGTTACAGTGAGGTGGAAGTACTTTGTCCCTGTAGTTGGGCGGTGCGTGTGGATTCACCTCTGTCACCTGTAGTACAGTGGTGTGGTGCAGTCACCTCTGTCGCCTGTAGTTACAGTGGTGTGGTGGAGAGTCACATTTGCCACATGTAGCTGCTAGTGTTTGTGGTGGAGTCATCAGAGAAACCTGTAGTTGCAGTGGGTGTTGTGAGTCACCTGTGTCATCTGTAGTTGCAGTGGTGGGTGGTGGTATCTCCTGTTACCTGTTAGTAGGCTGTCGGTGTGGTGATTCACCTCTGCATCTGTAGTTACAGTGGTGTGTGGTGTCACGGTGTCACCTGTTTAGTTGCACAGTGGTGTGGTGATTCACCTGTGTCACCTGTAGTTGCAGTGGTGTGGTGGAGTCACCTGTGTCACCTGTAGTTGCAGTGGTGTGGTGGAGTCACCTCTGTCTCCTGTAGTTACAGTGCTGTGGTGATTCACCTCTGTCACCTGTAGTTACAGTGGTGTCGTTGAGTCACCTTTGTCACCTGTAGTTACAGTGGTTGTGATGGAGTCACCTCTGTGAGAGGCTTGTGCATCAGTTTACATGGAGTGGGGGAGCCACCTTTGTCACTGAATTACAGTGGTGTGGTGGAGTCACCTTTGTCACCTGTAGTTACAGTGGTGTGGTGGAGTCACCTTCGTCATCTGTAGTTACAGTGGTGTGGTGGAGTCACCTTTGTCACCTGCAGTTGCAGTGGTGTGGTGGAGTCACCTGTGTCACCTGTAGTTGCAGTGGTGTGGTGGAGTCACCTGTGTCACCTGTAGTTGCAGTGGTGTGGTTGGAGTCACCTGTGTCACCTTAGTTGCAGTGAGTGTCTGGTGTTATTTCACCTCTGTCACCTGTAGGTACAGTGGGTGTGGTGGAGTCCCTATGTCACCTGTAGTTTCAGTGGTGTGGTGTGTCACCCTGTCACCTATAGGGTTACAGTGGTGTGCTGTGGTGGAGTTTCCTTTGTCACTGTAGTGTACAGTGGTGTGGTGGCGTCAACCCGATGTCACCTGCGTGTTTCAGTGGTTGTGGTGCGTCACCTCTGTCACCTGTAGTTAAATTGGTGTGGTGGAGTCACCTTGTCGCTGTATTACCAGTGGTGAGGTTGGAGCACATTTGTCACCTGTAGTTTCGTGGTGTGGTGGAGTCACCTCTGTCACCGTAGTTACCGTGGTGTGGTGGAGTCATCTCTTGTCGCCGGTAGTTGCAGTGTGTGGTGGAGTCAACCTTGTCACATGTAGTTACAGTGGTGTGGCGGAGTCACCTATGTCACCTGTGTTACAGTGGTTTGTGGTGGTGTCAGTCTGTATCCTGTAGTGACTGTGTGGTGATTCACTTTCCGTCTCCCTCGTAGTTGCGCGGTGCGGTGGAGTCATCGCTGTCCACCTGTA